AGCTGGGGCGATTGAAGAAGGAGTTGGCTGAGAAGAAGGTGGAGGTTGACTCTCTAAGGGAGTAGTGCCTCAGTATTATCGACGATGCCATCATCAGGGCTAGGGGAGAGCTGATGTCGGAGTACAATGCTAGGAACACTGCCCACTGGAACTCGAATGAGGACATCCAACTCTTGCGGGAGATGGAGGAGGAAGAGGAGGAGGAGGAGGAGGAAGAAGAGGCTGTTGGTCACGCAGATTATGCGGAGGAGTGGGTCGATGACCAGGTATTTGACCTCGCTAGTCAGTCGGGGCAGTTGGTTACAGAGGATGCTAGTGACCAGGCTACAAGGACGATTGCTGGGGCCAGTGACAGGGTAACTGAGTTAAAGATGGGTAAGACGACTCGTACTAACGATATGGGGCATGATGCCCCTTAGGCTTATGTTTATTTTTTTTTCTCCTGTATTTTTGGGGCCTGCGATGCCCTTTCATTGTTGGGTTCATGCATTTTGGACATGGAAATAGAGAGAAAATGATGATCAAGATGATGGATGCAAGGTAGAACACAAACATAACACATAAGCCAAAAAAATTTCAAGGTAAGGATGGAATATTACCTACTCCTTTGCTATTCAACACTTGAATCTTCTTTCTTGGAATCTTAGTTCTTCAAGTGAAGTTGAAGAACCTCAAAATGTGATCCACGCAAGTCAAGGAAGAGAGAACCGTGAGAGTGAGAGAGAAAATGAGAGAGTGATTTTGCTTTAATTGATTCAATTCAATTAAAATGGCATAAAACTTAATTTATATACCATGGGCACAAAGTGTAATTTTAAATTATTTTGGGAAGGCCTCAAACAATTTAAAATTAACTTGAGAATAAACATTTATGTCAAGTCCTTGGTTTTATGGTTAATTCATAATTAGACCAAATTTTAATTCCATTAAATATTCTAACTCTTTAGAATAAAACCAATGCACTTTTGCCCCCATTATTGAATCCGATTCAATACTAATATTTAATAAATCCTTATTACCCTTGGTTAGTGCTAGCTACCCATGGATAATCATTTCTCACCAATACATTAATTCGGATGCAATTGTTTATGTCCGAACATCATTAACCTGATTAATGATATGTATTACTCTCTCTCCTTGAGCTTGATTTTATGTGTGACCATTTTGGTTCACTGTGATCTAGCCATGGGCTCAATATCAGATTTTGATATGTTTCGTTATAATTATTTATAATCGAAACTCCCACTGATTATGGTAGACGTCTAGCAATGTTCCATAACCCCTAAATCATAAAGAAGTGTAAACTCCAATGAACCTATTTTGATTGTACGTACAGTGTAGTCAAATACCTCTGTTATCTAATCTCGATTAAGAATGGTTCGTGGTATGTCAAAACCTTTAACTTAATCTTTAATCAAATTGTCAATCGATACAAGGAAACTCGTCAACATGAAACTACTTTTCATCTAACATTCATTATACTCTGGCCAAAGATTTCCCTTTTCCAATGTTTATTGACATTCGTCTGGGAACTCGAGATTGGACTATTTTGAGTTAACGGATCCCATCTTGACCATCACTTGTCCTCGCACATGAATAACATATGACCAAACTGGCTTATTACACAAGACATGACTAGTCTCGTGCTTATACACCATATGAACCATATGCATCCTATGTTGAATCCAACCGTGATGTCTCAGGTCTAAGGATCAATGGTACACTAGCACGATCCTACGATGCATCATTGACCATATCCATGTGATTCATCGTAATCGGTCATATTCGATAAACAGTTCACTAACCGTTTATCTATGCTAATGCCTTGGTGACATACCTCTTATAATCATCCACACTAATACCATCACATGATATTCAATGGAGACATTCAACATGCCTACTATGCAATGTTATTGCCCAATTAACATTACTTGTGTAGGGAATTCTTTTATGATTTGATCTTTTTAAGATTTGTGTCATCCAGACATTTCACATGCAATATTAAATATAATATTTTATAAATGAAGTAGAAAATCAACATGTGAAATAAGAACACTTTCTTTTATTCATAATACATTTACAAGATATAATGTCCTGAAATCGACAACACGATTGGTTCCTAGGGCATACACTAACAAAACTCCCACTTGCACTAGCGCCAATCGCTATGGTATCTAGTACCCATCTTCTTAAGATGATAGTCCAACTGCTTCTGTGTCATCGCTTTAATGAGTGGGTCAGCTACATTCTCTGCCGAAGGTCTTTTCTGCACCAAAATTTCTCCAGTGCCAACGAATTCTCTCAAAATGTGATATTTACGTTGAATATGTTTTGACTTCTGCTTTGCTCTTGGCTCCTTTGCCTGTGCAATAGCACCAGTATTGTCACAATACAAGGTTATCGGATAAACCATGTTTGGAACCACACCATGTTCAGCCATGAACTTGTGCATCCAGACAGCTTCCTTTGCTGCTTCTGAAGTGGCAATGTATTCAGCTTCAGTTGTGGAATTGGTAGTAGTTGATTGTTTAGAACTCTTCCAACTGAATGCTCCTCCATTGCATATGAAAATGAACCCAGATGTAGGCTTTCTATCATCCACATCTGATTGGAAATCAGAATCAGAGTATCCTTCAATTTTCAACTCTAAACCTCCATAACTTAGTATTAGATCCTTAGTTCTTCTTAAGTACTTAAGGATCGTCTTAACAGCTGACCAATGTTTTTCCCTTGGGTCGGACTGATATTTGCTTGTAACACTCACAACATATGCAATATCAGGCCTAGTACATAGTATAGCATACATGAGACTACCTACGGCTGAAGCATAAGGTATTCCATGCATCCGCTCACGCTCCTGATCAGTCTTTGGACTCATATCTTTTGAAAGATGAATTTCATGACTGCAAGGTAAAATTCCCCTTTTGGAGTCTTGCATGCCGAACCGTTTCAGCATCTTTTCTATGTACATCTTCTGGGATAAGCCTATTAATCCAATGTTTTAAAACCAGCATTATCAGTCTCTGTTAACGCCTACGGTTGGATCGGTGCACTATAGCACCTGTCGGTCCAACCACCAAGTTTAAAAAATCTGGGTCATTTAAATTTTTAATTATATAATAATTATAATATATATTAATGAACAGTAAACCCCAAATATTTAACATTTCCCTATTCCCCCCCCCACCCCCGCCATTTTCACGACATTTCCCACCCTTTGCTTTGAAAGTCTGAAGCTGAACACTGAACTCTGAAAATTACCGCCTGAATCTTCCCTTCACCGTTGAATCTCCTCCCATTTGCCTTCACCATCAATGGCTTACTTCGTCGTCAGTTGGGGTACCGCGAATCTCCTCCCATTTCGTGATCTTCTCTTGCGTCACACACTCATCACCACCGTCGATCTACATCAGACATCCATCGTCGTCATTCTTCTCAGAGTTGCACAGTGGAGACTTGATCTCAATCTCGGAGCTGCACACACTCTTCTTCACATTGCTTGAAACTCATGACTCAGCTTTTCATAGTTGCCCTGTTCACAACCGAGCTCCACCTCCCCGACCGTCAACGAACGACAACTCATCTTCACCACCACCAGGTAACTGTCACAGTGTAGGCATATGTCTTTGTTTCAAGTCTTGTGCATGAGATTGAGATGTCTTTGTTTAACGGTGTAAGCATGCTGCTCTCTGGTAAATTAAAGCCTAGTGAACATGCTTTACAGTTTGAACTTTAAAGGGAGAACTAATGACAATGATCAGGCCTTTCTGATCCTAAATTCCTAATTGTAGTAAAAGTTCTGTATCCATTATTTATTTATTTAATTTTTGTTTTGTAAAAGTTATTGAATTCATTCAAACTTATAGGATTTAACTTGCTTGGTGAATGGTGAACCAGTTCTGAATTGTTGGTAGTTGGTACTTTAGGCAGAAGCGGTGGTGTTGTGTTGAAAAATGAAAACAATCACTTTTGTTTCAATAAGAGACAGTGATAGTTTTCCCTTTTGTTTAAACCAATAACTAGGAAAACTCCAAGTCTTATAATGCAAAAATCTCATGATATTATACATTGGGGGCAAACCGGCAAAGTCTCATCAAGTAAAATCCTGACATTGTAAAAGTTGGTTGGAAGATTGTTGAAAGAAGAAAAGAGAAAGGACCTGTTGGCATAACATGGAAAACAGTAAAAGTGAAGGATAATACAATGTAGGCAGAACTTATGCATGTGTTGTCCCTTCCACTTTTTTTAGAGATTTAGGAGTTCATTATGGAACTATTTGTTTGAATACATGTAATTCTATAAAAAATTATGGACAAGTGGTTTAAACTTATTTGTTATTTGTGTTGCTAGGGTAGAGATCAAGATTAAAGACAAAGAATATGTCATCATCTGGGTCTTGTCAACAATCTGCTTCCATGGATGTTTCTCAAACTTTTCGAGGAAGAAATGATATAGCATGGGCACATGTTAATGACGGCGTGGATGAAAATGGGAAGAAGATATTAACAGGTCTTTACTGTGGCAAGATAATCAGAGGTGGAGCAATTTATCGAGTGAAATTACATCTAGCGGGTGTAAAGGGAGAACTTGGAAAGTGCCCTAAAGTTCCTTTCGATGTTAAATTCAAGATTGAAGAAGCATTAAATGAAATTGGGGCCAAGAATAAACAAAAAGTTGAACTTTGTAAGAATGTCAATCCTTATGGACCTAGTGTACAACAATTTGAGGGTGATATGTTAGATGAAGATCAAGAGTGTGAAGAGGTTTCTCCATGTCCAACTCCAGCTCCAGCTCCAACTTCAACTTTAAGCAGTAAGAGAAAAAGATCTATTAGGATAAGTGACTATTTTGCTCCGAGGACTAAGTCTGGGTCTTAGCCCTCAATTAAGAGTGTTTTAGCCGGACAAGAAGCTAAGTAGAGAGCGGACATGGCTGTTGCAAGGTTATTTTATTATTCTTGCATCCCAACTAATGTTATTAATTCAATTTATTTTCAACCTATGGTAGATGCTATAGCTGCAATTGGTCTTGGGTATAAAATCCCAACTTACCATAATTTGTGTGTAAATTTATTGAGAGATGCTAGGAAAGAAGTGCAATTACTTGTTGATGGTTACAAGAAAACTTGGGAGGATGTTGGATGTACTTTAATGGCTGATGGTTGGACAGATAATTCACATAGGTTGTTGATTAATTTTCTAGTGTACTGTCCTAAAGGAGTGTGTTTTGTGAAATCAGTGGATGCTTCAGATGTTGTAAAGGATGCTGCAACATTGTTTGGCTTGTTTGAGGAAATAGCTTTATGGGTTGGACCAAACAATATTATCCATCTTGTCACTGACAATGGAGCAAATTATAAAGCTGCTAGAAGAATGTTGTCTGAAAAATATAGCAGTATTACTTGGTCTCCTTGTGCAGCACATTGCATTAATTTGATGTTGAAAGACATAGAAGAGATGAGTCATATAGTCAACCTTTCAACACGTGTATCTGAGGTTACAAAGTTTGTGTATAATCATTCCTTTATGCTATCTTTGCTGAGGAAAAAACAGGTTATATACCTTTACTTCATATGTTTATAATTTATATTGTCAAGACATATTATATGTGTACACTTTTTAATAATTTACCAAGTACTAACATTTATTGTCTATCACTTGAATAGGGTTGGACAGAAATTATACGCCTAGGTGCAACCTGTTTTGCCACAACTTTCATTGCATTGAGCAGCCTACATCAGCACAAACATGACTTGCAATCTATAGTGACAGATAGAACTTTTGTGGAGTCTTGATATACAAAAACTAATAAAGGCAAAGCCTTTATTTCCATAGTTCTAGATAACCAGTTCTGGGATGACATTGGTATAGTTTCCAAAGTTGTGAGTCCATTGATGCATATGCTCCAGATTGTAGACTCATATGAGAGACCTTCAATAGGATAGGTGTATGATGGCATGTACAGAACAAGGATGGGGATCAAGAAGCTATTTAAGAACAAGAAAAATTTGTACAAGCCTTATACAACAATTATTAAGATGCGTTGGGATAGAATGTTGCGCCGTGATATTCATGCAGCAGCATATTATTTAAATCCTGCTTTTAAATATGATGAAGATACTTTTTCCAAAAAACCTGAGATCATGTATGGTTTTCTTGACACTATTGACAATAAAGCAAGTGCATTCAAAATGAGCAAGACAACGTTACTGGAGGAGAGTAGATTATATCGAGACCGTTTAGAAAGCTTTTCTCGTGAGCTTGCTCTTCAAACTTGCAAAACTACATGGCCAGGTAGGTAATAGTTATTAACTTTTTAAGTCTAATTTTTAAGTTATGAAATTGTGTTTATTTCTTATGTAATTTATATTTTATTCTCAATTAGATGAATGGTGGAAGACATTTGGGTTTAGTACTCCAAATTTGCAAAAGTTTGCAATCAAAATTCTAAGTCAAACTTTGGCCTCTTCCGGATGTGAGCGAAATTGGAGTATTTTTGAACGCATACATACTAAAAAGAGGAACAGAGTGGAGCATCCATGGTTGAGTGATTTGGTTTTCACTCATTATAACTTGCATTTGCAAAATAGGTATAAAGTCTTCTTCATTTTGTTATTTTCATTGATGTCTTTATTGGTCATGATTTGAATATTTAATTCTGCTATTTCAGGAGTTGTTACAAGAAAATTACATATGATCCTATTGATTACGAGAGTATTGATAAAACTGAATGGTGGATAGTTGATGAGGAAGAGGAGGTTGGTGAGCTTAATTATGATGAATTGGAACAATCATTATATGGAGAAGGAGCTATTCCTATAGATGGTGGTGATCACCCTTCTTATTATGACTCAATAGATGCTTCAGAAGGTTATTTACAATTTTTTAAGCAATTTCAATTTGGTATTAGCTAGTTATATTCAATTAGTTTAAATGGGAAGATTTAACTTATGGTTTTCCTTTTTTGCTAGATTTTTTTGTAGATGATGTCGTCGATGTTAATAATGATGACGATCATCCATCAGGTGGTGTGTGAATTGTCAATTTTAATTGAGGATGGAATGATGGATTGATTGATTGAAGACCATTTGGGTGAAGATCATTTTTTGTTAGAATGTGAAATGTTGACTTGAAAGTTAAAATCTTGTCGGGTTTTGTCCCGAGTCGGTTTTCAAAACATTGTATTAATCCTTTCATTCTATTCAATAGATACGAATTCTCAGATGTAGGTCGCTTCTCCTAAGTCTTTCATGGAGAAAGTTTCGGATAACCACAAATTAACTTCAGTCATCATCCCAATGTCATTTCCCATCAACAGTATGTCATCTACATACATATGAGAAATATGATTCATGATCCTTTGTCCATTTATAAATACAGGGTTCATCCGGATTCTTATAAAACCAAATGTTTGATTATTTCATCAAACCGAATGTTCCAACTTCTTGAAACTTTTTAACCAGAATGGATTTGTGCAGCTTGCACACTTTATTTCTTTCAGAACTAGATACAAAACCTATGGCTGGTTGCATGTAGATATTTTCCTCAATAAAACCATTGAGGAATGTTGTTTTGACATCCATTTGCCATATCTCATAATCATAGTGTGCAACTATGGCTAGCATAATTCTGATGGATTTAAGCATAGCGACTGGTGAGAAAGTTTCCTCATAATCCAACCCTTGTTTTTTAGTATAACCTTTCACAACCAGTCTTGCTTGTAGGTCTCTACATTCCATCTTTGCAATCTTTCTCTTGAAGATCCATTTACATCCAATAGGAACTATTCCTTCGGAGGATCAACGAGAGTCATACTTGATTAGCATGCATGGATTCTATCTCAGAATTCATAGCTTCTAGCCATTTTCCAGAATCGATATCTAATATCACTTCTTCAAACTTCTAGGATCATCCCCATTACTGACTTCTCCATCATGAAGATTCAAAATCTTTCATGAAGTAACCCATATCTTTCTAGAGGTTGAGATACTTTAGATGATTTATCAATCGATGGAAGCCAATTGCAAATCAAACTAAACCGAGGAAAACACTTCACCGGTTGGTAAGCCAAAGACTTTTATACTACCTTGCCACTGTCCTATATGATAGGTGGCTGCGTTTCAGGTATAATGTTTCTTGAGAGGGACCACCCATTTGAGTATTTGGTCTGAGGCTCCCCGAACTCTTCCCGGAGCACAATTTTTCTTCTTGGACCACTCTCTTCTAAGAACTCTTCTAAGAAGTGTGCATCCTACTGATTGAAATTCGTTAATCAGTGTGGAAGTAAAAATAATATCCCAAAAATTTTTGGGATACCCTATAACCGACCTTTCTCGAATTTACGTCTCAACTTGTCTGTCTTGACAATCTTACATAAGCTAGACAACCCCAAATTCTCATATATTTGAGACTAGGAGGTTTACCATACCACATCCTATGGTGTCATCTCAATAGATTTAGATGATACCCTATTCAGAATATGCACAGCGGATTCAAGGGCAAATCCCTATAGTGACGTTGGCAAGTCTGTAAAACTAACCATCGACTGTACCATATCCAATAAAGTACGGTTCCTCCTTTCAGACACGCCATTATGTTGCGGCGTATACGGAGGAGTCAACTAGGATATTATACCATTCTCCTTTAGAAAATTTTGAAATTCCGTACTTAAGTATTCACCACCACGATCTGATGTAGAGTCTTAATACTCTTTCGGTCTGTTTCTCTACTTCATTCTTAAACTCTTTGAACTTTTCAAAGGATTCAGATTGTATTCATTAAATACAAATATTTGTACCTAGAATAATGTTGGTAAAGGTAATGAAGTATTGAAAACCTCCTCGAGCCATTTCATTAAATGGTCCGCATACATCTGAATGTACAACTCTAATAATTCTTTGGATCTTTCCCCTTACCCTTAAAGGGCGATTTGGTTATTTTTCCTTGAAGACAGGATTCACAAGTTGGATAGGATTCTGAACCCAATAGGCTTAAAAGCCCATTTGCTTCTAACCTGATTATCCTTTTATCTCTTATATGACCTAATCGATGATGCCAAAATTTTGGTTAATTTCATTTCGAGATCTCATTTTTAATGTGTATTAATTATGTCATAATCATCATTACCAAAACATACAAACCATTTGTATTAATTGCTTTGCCAAGTAATCATTTCCAAAATAAATTAGACATTCATTCCATTAACTATATTTTGTAACTAGATTTACATAAAACAGAAATAGAAATGAGAATTCTATTTGCTTTGGCAAAATACAAAGTTATGTACAAATAAAAAGTGGTCCTGATGGCAACGTCAAATGGCAAGACCCCATGCCTCGGCCGCAACTTTTGCTCATTTGCCATCTTCAAAATTACTTCACCTTTAACAGTGCAGAACTATTCTGCAGTGCCTGCAATGAAACAAAATGTGAGATGTAGCAGCGAATCTAATATCCGGAATGATCATTTGAACTAACATTTAATTCAAATTCTATAACATAAGAATGGAACATACCTGTTGGAGCTTCTTTAAGCTCTCAGATAAAGAGGACAATTCCTCTTCCAATGTCCATCTTTCTTGTAGTGGAAACACTGGCCTTTATCATTGACCTTTCTTTGCCCTTTTAGTCTTAGAAGCATCCTTCTTAAAAGGCTTTTTCTATGGTCCAACTTTTGGACCTTTCTTTTGCTTCCATTGCTTCTTCTTAGTCTTACTAGAAAAAGCTGCAAAACATCCTCTTGCCCTTTTTCTTTCTTCCTGCATAGAACTGTTGAATCCATTCTACAGTTCTGCAAGAGTGCGCCAATCCTATTGAGATTATAATTTGTGATGAAGGGCTTGAAACTTGGTGGAAGGGATTGCAGAATCAAATTCACCCAAGACTGTGTGGATCACAATCTCAAGTGTACGCAATTGCCCTATAATACTACTCTTTTTCATAACATGATCATCTGGGGCAACTCCCTCCCTAAGCCTCATTGTGAATAGTGTCAAACACAATTTGTATTGCTTCACCATGAGTTTCACCATACAACTCTTGTAAATGGATCATTATCCATTCGCACTTTCCATCTTTTCATGCTCAACCTGGAGCTCAACTCATGATGCTAGCATGTAGGTTCGAGCTGTAAGTCATCCTCTGCCACTTATCGAAAACTTCCTTTTCTGCGGTGTGCATCAGGAGACAAAGAAAGTGGAAGGGGTGCCTCCAAGACATACCCGACTTTCTAGGAATTGAGAATAATTCTCAAATTCCTTAACCAATATTAAAATTAGGTCGATCAACGTTTTCGAGAATCCTCAAAAGCAGTATTGCTTATTTTTGTTAACAAAATCACAAAAACCGAAAGAGACTGCAAGGAAAAATTGACTGCAAGGAAAAATATAAGTTTATAGTGTCTTGTAAATTCAAACCCTTTAACGCTAATCTTATTAGTCCACTATTTTATTCAAATCCCATACTCCCCTAAATGATGATTTGGAAATTTCGTTGGAATAAATTTCTAGTAGGGAATCAATTTTATTAAATTTAATTAACCTCACATAATAGAAATCTTGGTCAATTAAATTTACAAGTAGGAAACTATTTCCTTTTATATCACTATATAAGGTATGATTAATCCTTGCCTCTAGTTTCGTTACTCACATAATATAAATCTTGGTACCTAGACTAGATAAATCCAACCCATTATGCTTTCTTAAAATAGAATTTCCATTATACCCTCACATATAGAAATCTTGGGTATTATGAAAATTTCTATCCAAGAACTAAGACAATTAATTCCATGTCATAAA